ATTTGGGGTTTCAGTTCTGCTTTTATTACCCTGCTTCAGTGGTAGGCCAGGAGTCTAAGCTTTTGATTCACCCTAGAGTTTTACTGTATTTACTTTACTCATTTCAGTTATATCTAAAGAACTCAAGCTTTCAACATTTTCCGTTTATCCTTTGGTAGACTGTTTTCTATCTGAGTTTTAAGAACAGCAGTAAAACAGCATGAGAACATTTTCCTGAGATTAATATTTATTTTTTAAGCATGCCACCTACTGCTTGCAGTACGAAAGCCCTCGGTCAAAGTACACACAGATTGCACAACCAAAAGATTATGCATGGGTTTGTTTATTGCTCTTGGTGTTATGAAAATATTTAAATGTCTGGGTCAAACTAGCGTACATTAAACAGCCATGGGCACCAATAGGATTTTTTTCAGCTCTGTGATATCAAGATAGGATATGATTTTGTGGAAAGAGATGTAAGTTACTGTCATTAAAAGGCACTTCAGACTTCAGTGTGGCTTATTCAGATGATTAATGAGGGCCACATGCATCTGATGTGGCATGAGATTCATCAGTGTTTCTTATTATCTTTTCTTCTCTGATGCAACACTTGTTTTCAAAGTCTGGATGTAGTAAGTGCCTTCAGAGCATAAGGTTGTAATACTCGTTTTCATGGTGTTACAAGATGTCTGCCTTTTTGGAAAACTAACCCTTACTGACAACGGTAGCTTCCAGTAATGCAATAACCAAAATCATGTAATGAGCTACAGATTCTAACAGAGAGAGATAATCTGGTCAGAAGAGCAAGCTTGCCTCCCATAGATATGCTGTCTGCAGCTTCATAACCGTGAGCTTGGGAAGATGATGTTTCACAACAGTGGCACAACATGAGGCACACAAAGTTTCCGTCTTCCTCTTGGTCATACTGCCTGACTCATTCAAAATGTTTTGTTGACCAACTCATCGAAAGCTTTTTCACAGCCTTTTAAGAATATCTGTAAGTTATGAGAGTGTTCCTCCACCTGTTTAATTTCCCCTGTTCAGTTTTCATTCAAACAAGCTCACAGTCTGTCCCAAAAGTCTGCCCGAGCTGGGGCTATGTGAGAGTTTTGCCATCAAGTGTGAGCTCATTAGATATTTGTATCTGCCTTTGTGTTCTTTGATGCAGTTTGAAATGACTTTAAAAGTTTTACAGCAATATTATGAGCTGGAAAAAAATGACACCCATTTGACAGATGAGTGAACTAAAGCACAGAGAGGTTAGGTGGCTGTGGTGGGAGCCCTTGCTTACAGCAGACACCTAAGGACAGCAGAGAGAGTGGGGACATGGCTCTCAGCCCTGACTGCTAACCTGCCAGCATCTCAGGTGCTCTGCTGAGCCTCAACATTTTCTCAAGCAAAGAGATTTTTAGCATTCTGTACACTCTTTGATTTTTTTTTGTTCATAATTTTATTTGTTTGCATCAAGTTCATCTCAGATTAGAAACCAAAAATAATTAAGGTGCCATGAGGCTGACAGGTACAACATGGAGAAAAGTTTTCAGAGCGTCTCCAGCAAAGTCTGACACATCAGGGAGGCAGATTAATGCAGGAGGCCTCTCTGTGAAACTTTGGCAGGGTAGGAGTTGGTGTCCAATGCAGCCATTTTTTTTTGATGTGGATAAGTCAAGGGTTTTATTTGTTGTTCAGTTTGTGTGTGTGAAGTGCCTCCGGGATGAATGGGTCTTGACTCACAATACTGAAAACTGCAGTGTTCACTTAGGGCTGGGGAAAGAAAAGCGAGTAGATATTCAGAGAATGAGATTTAAACTCAGACCTGCTGATTCAGCTTCTGGAATACAGATTCCAGCCAAACTAAGCTTCACCTTTTCCATTGCCCATGGTCAGCCAGACCAGGAATTGGTGTAATCAGATGTAGTCCAATTGGTATCAGTGAAGTTTAGCTGATTAATACCAGTCCAGAATCAAGCCCTGCATTTCAAAGAAGTTTGTTGGTGATATTATTGTTATTGGTTTTATTATTGTTTTTATTTATTTGTCTCTTCTTCCTTGGACCATTTATTAGACTGCCTTCCTTCTCCATTTATTTTCCACTCTGTGTACTCTCTTCATCATTTTTTGCCTACAGGATGTTAGCACTTTCCTCCCTTGCCTTTCCCTCTTTCTTGGTCCTCTCAGAGGGAACATAATCTCAGTAACACTGTCTTCCATGTCAAGCTAGGAGACTGCAGTTGTTCAAGCAGGTTGGAAACAGAAAACCAGTCATTATGAATAGCCTTTGTCCTCTTGCTGTCAGCTTGAGGGAGATTCCTTCTTGTATGTCCTTCTGCCCTCAACTCACAGGCTGCTGGTTTGATGCGAGGCTGCAAACAGCTACTGGTGGAAAGCCAGGGAAATCATAAGCATAAATCTGCCTCTTCATACATTCTAGTGGTGTATTGATATTCTGGAGAGACAATAGCTTTTTTCATGACTATGTGAAATCACAACGATGTAGAACTGTTTGCAAGTGGATTTCTGGAAGTAACAAGTAAACAGAGAAGGAAACCATCCTGTTCGCTTTTACGATTTTTACAGAATTACCTTATATATCTTTTATGTTGACCTAAATGTGAAAAAAATTGACTTATGCTTGTTTGATGATCTTTTATGCCTGGTGCACAACACAGAAGATTATCTATTGGGAAACAGCTAAGGCACTGCTACTTTGCATATATCTCCTGCATCCTTTCCAACCTTCCTTCTGACTGAGGAAATTTAGTTTTCTGCCTTGCCATTAAAGAAAATAAGTAAAAATCAGATGTACCATAAGCTTTCTGACATGAACACGTATAAGTGATGTGATTTGTCAGCTACTGTGCTTATAGTAGAGACCTCAGTACTACAGAGGAAGAAATAAGAAATGTTTTCTGGGCACAAATATTTGCTTTTCATTTATTAAGAAACAGGCTGAGAAACAGTAGAAAAACTCACTCTGGAAGGGGTGGAGGACTACAGCCTACAAGCCATGTATTGTTGCAAGTACGCATATATGTATGTACAGACTATTGGAATTCCTTGCTTTAAGTAGTTGCATTTAATGAATAGATTTTTATTGCTTACTTTCCCTAACATGACTATTTATTTTAAATATTGTATGAAGTTTACTAATTCCTTTAAAACAATGGAACATTTCTTTCTGCAACGATCTGTCCCTCATAGTACAATACTGAGTCAAAGCGAATGGTAAAATGTTGAGTCAAAGGGAATGAATACCAAGGCAAACAGTCCTTAACTCTGTGTATTTTGCTGGGGTGTGACAGAAAGGTAGATAGGAGCCTAATTTTCGAATAAGAAAGGTTATTAGGACACAAGGACTTGGCGTCAGACGTTATCAGTATTTTCTGTGCCAATGCCCAGGATAAAATCTCCCCTCAGGTTCTGGTTTCAGTTTGGGGCAATGTTTGAGGACCAAAGGCAATTTAGGAATTTTAAATGTGTGGCATGTGCTAATGGATCACTGAAATAAACCGGTTCTTCAGAAGATCAGCAGCCTCACATTCCTTTGCAGGTAAGGTCACTGTCAACATGGTTAGTGCCCTGGATGTCAGGGTTACAGGTAGTTGACACTTTGCAGGCAGCTGAAAAAATCCACAAAAGGCTGCAACTCCTTCCTGCACTTCTAATACAGTATTTTGTGTGGTGTAGTTTAATATTAGAGAGAGGACATTGATAAAAGGATACAAAGAGGCAGAGGTAGACTGGAGTTAAGCTGCGTAGGTTTGTGAGTAGGTTATTCCCTTTAGTTGGAGCAGAAATACACACACACGTACATGCACGTGCTTCTCCTTAGCTCAAACGATGGATGCATCTGCACCAGTTTAAGGCTTCGGTGGGTCCTGGCAGTTAGTAAATCTCTCTCAGGTTCTCATAGCTTTGCTGATACTGGCATCCAGTCTAGACCACAGCTGTGCTATCACAAGATTTAGTTTCAGTAAAGTTTCTTCGGAAGGAACTGGTTTATCATGCCCTTGTATAATGAGAATAAATGTTCTCCATAGAAAATTCTTATGAAATATTCATGCGTAATGTGCCCTGAGCGTGTACAATTGATAGCTACACATTTTTAAGTCTTGACAGCTTTCAATTTCTCTTTTCCTTTCTTTTTTTTAAATGGCAAAATACTGCAATGTGCTCTCTGTGTGTGTGGTCATGTCTTTACATATCAATATTCTGCCATTAAATCTTTTTTTTCTTTTTAATAAAATATATTATTATTTGCTGGCTTCCTCCAGGGAAATAAGAAGATGTAAATTATTTACTGTAACCAGCTTGCCCTGCAGCGCCAGCTTCGGAATTTAGTAACTGACCTTAAAAGCAAAAGCCCTTTTTCTGTTTATATTGTCTACATCATGAATTGCCAAACAGGAAGCTGTGATTTCCTTTCCTCAGTCACAGATTTATAAAAATACATGTAGATACTTACCTATGTTGTGCTGTGCTAATGTTGTACTAACCACGCAAGTCTATATTGCGCGTTAAACTTTTGAAGGCCAAACAGTATCTGTACCATGTGGTCTCATTCCTCAGAAACAATAATGAGCAAAGAAATTTCTTCGGCTCACACTAATTTCCAGGCCTCTCAGGCAAGAGGAATTCTATATGCGATGCTTTTTCCGAGTAAACATACCCCATACTTGCCCTTGTGATTCTCCCACAGTCTGCCTTTTCTGCCACATCAGAAATACTTTAGTGGCTGTCTTAGACTTTAAGAGCCTTCACAGGTGGACCCCTCTATGTCTTATGTTCTTTCCAGATAACAAATTTGGAAGACTAATCACAAATATTGCTTTGGTCTCACTGATCATATCTACCCCGCAAAAACAGTGCCGTTGCCCCACCCTTCTTACTCCTGTGACCTGTGTGGATTTGGGAGGCTTGGAACTGTATTTTGAGAGGGCAGGCATGATAAAGTAGCTACAGTATCTTTACCTTGCTTTTCCTTTTTTCCTTATGGACCAAAATATTAACTTCTACCAATATGTAATGGACTTGTTTGTTGTTCGACTCTCTTGAAAGAAAAAGCTTTCATCTTACTTTGTTTATGTGTAGAGTTATTCTTTTGAAGGCTTACCTTTCATATCATCAGTTGTCATTACCTTTTATTAATGAATGTGGATATATGTTAAATTCTCCAGTATCTCCATTTTACCTGTTCATATTACTGTGTTTTTACTTTAAGATCATTAGGATAGATACTGCCTCTATCTGTGTGTCTATACAGCAACTAGTCCAAAAGATACTGTTCTTGATTGATCTTTTTGGGTAGAATGATAACAGTAATGGTACTAACTTAAATCTTACCATGACTTCTTCATGTTCATATGTGAGGGTAATACTACATACAGTCATGTACAAGTTATCCACAGTCTGTGCCTTGTGAAGGAACCATTTCATGGTTCTTTCTGACCCTAAGCACTACAAATTACTGAACATATTTTTAATATCTTTCTCTATGTCACAGTGCTTGCTTTGATGGTTTCTTTTCATAATTGATAATGCTTCATCTGCTTTTTTTCTTTCTTTCTCTCTCTGTCACATGGTTTCACTTTTTCTCATATTTTCCAGATCAAGGAACTGTGCAAAAAGTTGTTGTCCTACCCACCAACTTCTCTGCAAGTGGAGAACTTATTTTAGAAGAGATGGAGGTTTTTAAGGTTTGGCTTGCTCCTACTTTTACTCTTCCAATTTGTATGTTCACACAAACACTTTGTTCTAAGAGACTTTGGCAAGGGCAACTGTGACTTGATAAAAGATCAAGCAAATGTGCATACTGTCAGCTTGATACCCACCCAAAGAGGAACAGAAAATGTCCACTGTTACGAAGGCTGTAGCTACCTGAAGGATTTTTTTCTGCTATATTTAAGTTGCTTATTTTTTTGCTAGAAGGATTTTGATAATCGCATTTTTACGAGGTCATGTCATAGTGGTTGCCAGAAGGCAACTTTTATCACTGGCATCACTTATTAAGACTCTCTATTTACAGATGGAATCTAAGATTTTTGCATTTCTTTGATTATCTGATAATCTTCCTGATTCTGAGCTATATAATGGAAGCAAGCTAGTGTTGTTTTTGCTTAACTCCAGTTCTTCAAAGCCGCATGCCTCTGGAGTGAAGAAAGCTATAAGCTTAACACAACATAAGCTGAAAAGAAACACAAACTAGTACAGGGAGAAATAAGGGAATAGCCTCTGTCAGTCACTCTGGCATGTAGCAGCTTGTAAAAATCTAAAGAAAATGTTCACCCTCACATTGAAAAATCCGTTTCAAATTTTTGAATGGGCTGTTCTTTAAAACAGATAGTCTTGGGGCAAATGGTGGTATGCATCTATAAACTTAGATAAGGATTTTGTCATGGGCTTTTCTTTATTTCGTTGAGGGGACACAAAAAGGAAAAGTTCAGCTTTTTTATCTAGACAGGCAGCGTTAACAATTTCTTTAAGAAAGGGAATGCAATCTGTGTTAACTGTTATACAGGCATATTCAGTTTTCTTAGGTTTTTGTTGAAGACTTCCCTTTAAAAAAGGTATAAGCGAGTAATATTACTGAAAGAGTACCCTTCACCCAAGTATTACTCATTCCATCTACTGAAAGGTAAATTAATACAGCAAGCAGATACGTGGGCTGAGAGGAATCCTGACTCTAAACCTTGTCTCTGGGCCTATGTGTAGAGATTTTTTTATCCTGAACCCTAAAAATCATGATATTATAACCTCTGCCATTGCAATCTATGCAGGCACCATGGCAGTATTTTGACGAGTGTCTCCAAGAGAGGGAGAATGAGATCTCTAGCTGTGTGCTAGTAAATATTCAGAGTAAGCAAAGCACTGATTCTTTCCAGAGTATAAGCAAGGAAAGGAGAATGTGGCATCAGATCCAATGTTGCATTTGACCTTGAGTCTTCAGACAGTTCATGAAATGCTAAATTTCTAATGTCTAACTCCTTCAAACCTTTGCCAATTCACATGACTTGCAGCCAAATTTTCTAGTCTTGGCCTCCCTCTTCTGCTTGTAGTCCACTGTAATTAATCCTGGCCCACCGTTATGGCTTTTCTTTGTGACTGAGCAAAATGCTAAATCTTAAAAAAGTGCTGAACATTTTTGTTGCTATCAATTTTATCATTTGTTTGGATAAGAATAATGAGTTGCTTGACTTGCTTAAGGCAATGAATGTGATAATTCCCTTTCCAGCTCTTTCATGTTTGGTTTGGACACAGACCGTAATAGACTAGTGATGACACACAGTAGTATACAGTATTGTCTCTGGGAAAGAAACATTCAGTAACACCCATGACATTTTTAATATTCTAGTCATCGATAATCTGAAAGTATATGTTGGATGGTAACCAAACTGTATGCACTGTAGATAATGTGTCAGAGAAATATGACATTTCCTTATCTGGATCATGTGGTAAATATGCATGAGCTATTGTATGGCTTTTCTTTATTATCAGCATCAAAGAAGAAACATTGTTTCTTATTACAAAGTAAGAGTAATGGCTTCAAAACATATTGCTCCTATATTGCTGAGGTAAACACAGATGTAGGTTAATTAGACATGTACAAAAACTTGTTGATGCGTCAGAGTACTAATAATGCAGTTGAGTTTAGCCAATACATCTAGTGAGACATTACTTGTATTTATGTCATTTATTTAGTTCTGAGAATAGCAAAAAAAATAGCAGGAGTGAGTGATGCCTTTACAGGACATGAAAAGTTGTAGTTTTCTTAGATATGATTTAGGTTTTATTGAATTTTAAATTTTAATGTTGGGACAGCATTAGCAAGAGAGTCCTTGTAAATGTGGTTTGGAATTTTGTCTTTCAGAGTAATTCTCCTATAACAACAATGAAGATATCATCTAAAAAGGTAAAGAAAAGTGGAATGTTTACTTAATGCTTATTAAATGAGAAATAATTTGACTTGAAGATGTTAGAATACCAATTATTGTGCATCATACTAAATATAGGCAGGAGATTCTCCATAATGAACATGGAGAAACTTGACTGAAGTTTGCATGAGCTGTTTATATGCCCCAGAGCCACTAAAATAAAACAATTATATTCATTATGTATCATTTCTGATTCACTGTGTCAATTTTTTTGTTGTATTGCTTGACAATTAAGGAGAAAAGAGTCCTAAAAGAGGGAATTTGCCCTCCTCTTTTTTCCTACAAGTCCTAAATAAAAATCTTCCCTTGAATGTCTGGTCAATGCAAAAAGGTAGTGTTGCAGCTGTTGGGTCCATGGCGCAATTGTGTGTGTTTATTAGTAATAAATGATGGCAATAAGAATGATGAAAACAGATCAGAGGATTTCTGCTGAAATTTTAAACAGCCAAACTAAAAATATGTATTCCATGATTTTGCAAGGAACATGTTGCTTAATATTTTACAAAACTACTAGCAAGTAAATAGTATTCACTAAACTGAATTCAGTGTAAGGTTTTAGATTTATGACAAAAAGATCAGGGGAGTTGCAATATAAAAGGTTTTTGTTCAATATTAATTTGTATTTTTAGAATAATTGATTAATTGTTTCTGAGTAAAGCAGTCATTTTGGCCCAGATTTTAGCGATGACCTATTCACTTTGAGCTTCTTTTGCAAAAGCTCTCATTTATTATAAAAATTCTTTTGGCTTATTTTTCCAGGTATATAAGGCTATCAGAATCTGGCCCTCAGCCTCAACATAATCTCTAGGTTTTATGTCTTGGAAGTGTATGCACTGCTGAATCCAACTAGGAACTCTGCGTAGTATTCATTAAAGTGACTATGTGCAGAGAAATACTTAGTTCAAAGGCTTGAGCCAATAATCCTCACTGAATAAGAACCAAGTTCTCAAATCTAAGCAATATTAACTCAGCCTGTCTGCTCCAGAACAGAACAATGACGGTCAATGTCCAAAAGCCATTAACATTCCCCAGTGTTTGTAAGTGTTTTCGAACAGGAAGGTGGAAATATTATAGGCCTGTTCACCTGGGAGATTTCTGTTTATCTTGGCTTTATAGATATTAGTGGCTCCCCTCTTGGTCTTGAGTTAATTCCAAAATTAATTGAAAGGTTTGTAGGTGTGTTAGCCGAGTCTCGGGTGGAGCTGCTCCACATCTGAAATAAATCTTTCCATTTCCTTCTACAGCAACAGTTGTATGTGAGCTCAGATGAAGGGATCACCCAGGTATCCTTGCATCGCTGCCACATCTATGGGACTGCCTGTGCTGACTGCTGCCTAGCCCGAGATCCATACTGCGCCTGGGATGGCAACTCCTGCTCCAGGTTTTATCCCACAGGGAAGAGGTGAGCAGTATTAAGCAGCCCAGCAAAGCCTGCAAGGAAAGAAGGGTTCTGTTCTGCTGTGTAGCCTGGGGTGTTGTAATGCAATGGAGAATTGGGATGGCGTTCCTTGCAGGAGCATGTACAAACAATACCTCTGTAGCTATTGTGCTTGGCATTGTTCATCACCTACGACTGTATGCCACAAGTGTGTATGACAAAGAGCTTGCCTTTTCGTATCGAAAGTAATGGACTGAAAAAAGAAAAAAAAAGTTCCTAATCATAAATATGAATCCTTCTGTCTCACGCACACAATATCAGTGAAACATTTGTTCCCTTTGCTTAAATTCAGTTGCTCACTATGAATGTAATTATGATAGCCCTAAATATAGCAAAATATCTCTCCAACTCTCTGAGGAACAAAAAGTAATTTATTTCTTTTGTTCTTCATTTACTCCTAAATGAGAAGAATTATTTCCAGGGAAATTTTAGGCAAGTGTGATTTCCATGTAATGCCTGCAGATTCGGGGTTTTTGACATGAGATTTATTAAAGCAGACAGGGAAAGCAATTTCTATTTAATTTACAGCAGAGATAATAGTCCACCTCATAATTTTTATGCAAAACAGGAGCTTCTTTCCTCCTCCCAAGGGAAATATTTAATAGCAGGAGGCTGCAGTGAGCTCTTGTATTACTAAGATTTCACTTCATATGCAAACAAAGCTACAGAATACACAATGAGGTATTACTGCAGAGGAGGCAGACCTTTCAGGTGTATGCCAGAGCTTTACCCGCTATGTGCCACTGTGCTCACTGCCTGCAGCTGAGCTGCAGATGCAGAACACCAGATAGAGTTAATGGGCTTCACTCCTTTACCTACGTGGAGGGAGATGGTAGACAGAAACACGCAAAGCTTGGCTCTGCTCCAGCGACCCAACCACCTGATGGCAGTGTCATCCCCTGGGAATAAAGACAATTACTTTTGTTATTGTAAAGTTTTCTTTACTCATTCCTTATTTGAGATTAAAAGGTAAAACCCAACTTTGGCCATGTAGCAATTGGTAAAGTACCTGGGGTTTTTACTGCTGTCACTCGGCATATTCAGCCTCCAGTCTGCAAACTGTTTTCTTCCATGGAACAAAGGTCAAAAGACAGGATAGGGGGAAGGAAAGAAAAGAAAAACCCCTGAGTCTCAGGCCACCTAGCTGCTACACTAACATAGTTGCTGAAGGATATAATGAGCAGTCACGTACACCCAGTCTGTGCAGTTTCCAGTGAATTCCTTGCCATCCCCATTGTATACACCCAGGTTATTTCCACTGGGGCTTGCTTTCATGCTGACAGTTTGTTTGCAATTTGCTTTTTATATCAAACCAAAATAAACACCTAAAACTGTATGGGAAAAAAAAAAATCTGTTTTTCATATGTGGAGGAAATGAGTTGTCCCTTTATCTAACAAGAGAGATTATGAAAGAGAAAACAATGGTAATTAGAGCCAAATCCCATAGTCTAGACGCTAGTATCTGCTGGACACATTTGTTTGTTTGCCTCTTTTGACACTTCTGTCTCCCATGGATTGCTGTGGTTCCCCATTCAACATTGATTTACCTCAAAACACCTGACAGTATTACCTTTATTTTCTAAACATCACCTTTTCAACCTTTTTTTTTATAAATATCAAACTGTAAGTGGACATTCTCAGAACTGCTTGATGCAAGCAGCGTGCTGTTTCTGACAGCATGGAGCAGCTCACAGTATCACAGGAATACTGAAATTCACTCAGAAATTCTTCATTGTCTCCTTTGACTCACATAAATAGTTTACAAAGGTTAAGATCCCAAGGCATAAGATGAAATATTTTTGATGGTAAACATCAAAAATATACTTGGAATGTCAGAAATTACTACTTTGAAACATCACCTTTCAAATGTTTCCTTTTAGAACAATGCAGCGAAGGATCAGGTGACACAGGATTATAAACACTGTCTCTGGATGTTTGTTTAGTACCTGGTATAATGTGGCCGCAGAGGCATCACCCTTCACTCAGCAGTGCTGGAGCTCCAGGGGCTTTTTATGGTTTCTGATCTCATGAGTCATTAGTGCATAGCTCAGAATACAGATGTTACAGATCCCAAAAGCATCCATTTGCAACAGGCTATCACCAATATATTATTTTGTTGAACTTGATAAATATTGAATTAACTTACAGAATATTCAGTAAACAAAATAATATAGCTTAAGAATAAAAAATTCAGGTACCAGATTTTCATGCACTGAATTCTGTGAGCTATGACCTTCTAGCTGAGGACTGAAATGCCAGTATTCCCAGTCCCAGTAAGCTCCCTAGCTAGTTTGTTACAGAATCGTGATTTTGCATCTGTCATCCAAACAATACAACAAAGTCTCATTTAGAAGTATTCTGAGTTTGGTGAGTTTATCTTTTGGAAATAGTCACGTACAAGTAGAGGACGGAACTGAATCTTAGCTCTCCACCATTCTGGATGAATACTTAAGTCATTCTGCTACAAAGGTGGCTACAGGCACCAAAAATAAGGTGTCTGCCAAAATCAAGGTGGGAACATGCACTGTATCATAATTTTCTGTTGGTGCATCAGATAGGAGTATTGTGACTCTTACATATCTCATTATTAGGCACTTGCCTTTATGAAAACCTCCAGCTGGGGGTTCTGGCTTTGAATGTTAGGTCTTGCAACAGTGAGTATATGTCTATTTTATGCATGACCTCTAGCCCTTCCATCTCTATACCTCCATTGCAAAACTACTGTACCTACCAAAGGAATAACCATTTTATAAACTTCAGCAAACAGATTATTCACTTAAACAGTATCTTCACTCTAAGAAGCCTGCCAAAAGTAAAGCACACTCACAGTAGGTCATGAACTATCCTTAACAGTTTATCCAGTAAAAAAAACACCAAAACCCACAAATAAAAAAGTGTTTATTTGCCCTGTAGCTATCTTGGAGTAACATTTTGTTTTTACAAAATATTTCAGGAGGAGTCGTAGGCAAGATGTGAGACATGGAAACCCTCTGACTCAGTGCCGAGGTTTCAACCTGAAAGGTACTACAATTTAGAGATCCTCATGCTATATAAAGAATGCATAGCTTTCCTTTATGTGATTCATCATAACTCACATTATCTGTGTGGTTTACTGGTAAAGCATAATTATTTTCCAAGCCTGTGTTTTGTTTTGATTTGGTTTCGACATTTTTCCTTGCAATTACATGAAACTTGCATATATATGATAAAATGATGAACCATGAAAAACATTGTCCAGCATACATGAAATGAGAAGCTGGCTGTTGACTGGAAACAGGTACAGTCAAGTTGAGGGCTTTTCTACTTCTACATCCCTTCAGTCTTGATTAATACTTCTTCACGCATTTGAGTCTTGGACCTCAGAACTACTGTGAGTATTTGATGCCATGTCAAGTTTTGGAGCACATCTTTCAGCAAACAGTAGGTTTTAGGCTTATCTTTTGAGTTATGATTATTCCTTTCTTCCTTTACACGGGACAATCAACCGTTCCAGATCTCTTCATGAAGTTTCTATTTCCATCTGTTCAACTGTTTAGTCAGCCTGGCATGGTTTGAGTGGACAGGGGAGCCAATGCTCAGCCCTCCCAGCTACCACTTTCTCCAGATTGATGGACACCAGTCAAATATGGCCAAAGTCACAGCAAGAGTAGACATATACATAAGGGCAGCTTAATCCTCTTCAGCCCCATCCGTGTCTGAACTATGTGGTGGCAATGTATGCCATCAAACCAAGAGCACTCATTAGAGAATTATGCTTCTTTCACTTCTGTTTCTGAGCCTGCATTTTGAAGTGCATTCTCATCTGTACCATCTGGACACCAAATAATAGACCCGACTGTAAATTTTTGATTGATTTTTTTGATTAAAAGAACAATGCTTTAAGCGTTACATGTGAAAGGTTCAGTTGATAATAATTACACTGAAATGGCTTCTGCTGGGTCTTGGAAGAATCTCCTGGATGAAAACAGACTGCAACAGTCAGTTGGGTGTAGATCCAAATGTGGCTAATCCTGCTCTAGGTGCCGGTCTACAGAGCCAGCGGGTCTTTCCCCATGACTCAGTATTAGGTCATTCATAGGAAGATGAATAGTCTGAACAGGTAATTATAGAAGATGAACCCAGCATTAGAGTATGCACCTGAGCTCTGAGAGATCCATATTACAGCTTAGGATCTGAATCATGAAGTAACTTGAGCTGCGTGTCATACCTTGTAGGCATGAGCTGTGATCACCCACCCATTGTCTATCCCAAGGGTGGGTGTCTCCTCTTTCGATGTGGAAAATGTGAGAATATCAAGTGTCTGCTTTCAGGGCTGAGGGGAGACAAACGTTTAAACCTTGACAGTCTTGTGAAACAGGTTTCTTGTTTTCGAAACTTTTTTTTTAATGTGGATATATTTATAGGTTTATGTGTTTTAGAAATTTATAAAGGATGTTTTGGTGACAGCAGTGGGGATATAGCATAGGTAAATGGCAGTTGTTTCCCCAGTGGAAAAGAAGATAAAAAGAAACAGCAACTTAGACTCTTGCAAAATATAATTAAAGCCATTTATAGCAAAACTACGAAGTTTGGAGAAAAAAATGAAGCCTACCTAAAGGACAAAAGAGCAGAGAGTCAGGCAACAGCAAGAAATCTTCCAAGTTCGTAGGGAACCATAATCTTGAAACAAAGTATTTGAACATGATAGGGTTCATGCCTGAGACCTCTCAGCATGTATGAACTCAACATTTCTGGCATATTGGAATTTTTAAATAGGTCATCAAGAACTAGGGGACTTGTATGATTGCTTTTCGATGTCCTGTTTAATATTATTATGCTTGTGTTAGCCTTTATGGCCATTAGACAAATGCATTTGAATTCTCTCAATCTTTTTCTTAGCATGTATAAGTAGTAGCAGTAGTATGGAGTAGGTAAGAAGTTAGATATATACTGATCAATTAAACAGACAAAAATGCCTTTCTGTGGTGCATCTAGTTCCAGAGTACATAAAAATAATAATGTGTTACAGCTCTGATTCTCAGTGTTTCACAGCTACAGATGGGTCAGCCCACATGTAAGCTCCTTGCTAGCTTGTGGTCTCTGAATCCAAAATATTTCCACATTATTCTCCTGAAAGTTACGACTGATTTTGGTACAACATCATAAATGTGCTGAAAACTTTGAAGGTACTAGAACCAAGCAAAGTCTCCTTCCTTTAGTAAAATAGATTCCAATTTCACATATCAGCTGATGAAAGAAGCTGAAAAGAATGGGAGACAGAGTCTGAGGAAAACCAGCCTTAGGACTGTGCATAATAAGAGTCAGATTTTAGACGTGCAGACCTGTAGGATTTGCATGTCTCATGTTATTTGGCATCCATTACTCCTTTGTCCAAAAAAACCAAAAAAAAGTTGTATTTCATATATGATGTAAGCTTTTAAAGCTGGAAGTGTATTGTTTTCAGGACAAATATTATGATTTGGGCCAAGCAATGAGCATGCTAAAGTTCCTGTCGGTAACTGCCAGTGGTTCATCTATGAAGACTATAAAGGGGCACAACAAGTCTAAGCGATGACATACGCTCAGCACTTGCACAGGGGCTGCGGGACTGCTATAAATCTGTCCGGCTCTCTGTTGCTGGCCTGCCTAGGTATGCATTGCCTTGCAGATTCAGAGCCAAGTTCTCTGCTTGCTTTCTTCCATGGGAGAAGCGGAGGAGCAGGAGCCAAGTCTGCCCTCTCTCACCTCCCTGCGAACCTGCACGCAGCTGGAACAGACGGAGCCGTCTTTGGGGCCTGCTGCTGCATTTTGAGTCGTAGAGCCATGTCACCCCAACTCGTAAACTGTGAAGTGTGAAGAAATATATTAAATGCTTCATTCTGCTTTGGACAGTTCTAGACAGGCGTTCTTGTAGTAGTAGCGAATGGGATGATTTCAGGGAACGATATCCCTGAGCTCAGTTATCCCACCAGCAGAGCCTACCAGCCCGCAGGTATCCTGCTTTCTAAGAACAGACCATGTCGGACTGAAAACACTGGTATTTCAAACTGAATGTGCTTCGTCACTTTTCATTTCATTTCATTTCATTTCTCTGAAAATTTTGTGCCCTAGATTACTTAATATTGGCCAATACCAGGATCAGATATACTTCATTTTGCCTGTATTGCAAACAATAACTTGCTTTCTGTATAAAATCACCAATCACAGTAGCCTGGTATGTTTTCTTTTTCTTTCTAGCATACAGAAACGCTGCAGAAATAGTTCAGTACGGAGTGAAAAACAACACCACCTTTCTTGAATGCACACCCAAATCTCCTCAGGCCTCTATTAAGTGGCTGCTACAGAAGGACAATGACAGGAGGAAAGAGGTGAGTGATGTGAACAGTAGCTCTGGAAGGGACCTCAGTCGCATCCAATCCTCTCCCAAGACCAAGGCAAGGGAGCGTTTGTGTTTTCATCAGCAATCAGGTTAGAGTGAGGCTGGAGAATTTGTGTGGATGCAGGACAGTGACCAGCACTTTACTCGTAAATAAGGGCAGACTCTTCAGTATAACTGGGACTTCACTCCTTAACCCCAGAGATTTCTATCAGAGCAGCACGGCTATCAGAAAATTCCTGTCAGCCTCTGAAGTCAGGGAACTAGTTAATGAATTTTTCCTTCACACCTTACTAATTGCAAACTGAAGGTTTGCAGCACTCATGACTTCTTATTGATCTGAGGGAATAGGCACAAAAGCGATAACCTGTATAAAGTTCAGGAAGAAGTCAGCATGCAGTAGCCCTTGTGTGCTATTGAAGAGATAGAAGGCAAAAGTGGGAGAAATGGGAAAGGTTGCTTTAGCAAGAAACTAGTCAAGACTAAGAACATGTATTGACAAAAGCATTTCCCCGCTATGGTGCAATCACATTTTCCATTACTGCACTCTCCAAGGCTCTCAAGTTTCAGCACTGTAATATACAGTGTGATTGTTTGTGGGGAATGTGCCTTCCTTAAGTAATATAAAAGGGGAAAAAATCCATTTCAAACCCAAGGCACTTACTATACGAATAAAGAGGAGCAACTTTCAAAAGGAAATGTTAAGTAATATAGTATCTGTTGATAGAATCTAAATACTGAAAAGCATTATTCACATATCAGGCCATTTTCCAAAATCAGAGAGGACTTACAAGCCTTTCACTCACTCTTTCATGCTGTTTTTCTCACTCTTCAAAGACTCAAGCCGTGTCTTAGCAATCTAGATGCAATTCTTTAACCCTTTCCTTCAGCAGAACATCTCCCTTTTTTGTTCTTATGTTCAATAACTTTATTAGAATCAATCCAGTTCTAAATAACAATGGACAAACTAAAGCAATCAAAGGGTTAATTACATTTCAGGCCCTCAGATTTCTGGAAATCTTACCTTCACAATGTCTACAAAAGTTTACAATAACAGAATAGCACAATAAATAAATAAATTCCCAAGAGAATCAGGTATAATGCAAAGTGCACTGGCAAAATAGAAAAATCATTCATAAAAATACCAGCAGTGGTATTCGTTCATAATGGGTTAAATTAGCAATTTTTACTTCATAGCTGATATGGAAAGGGACATGTGCACAGTCGTTTATAATCAGATGATAACTCAACAAGCTGTGGTAACTTGCTTTCTTTGAATGATGTGACCATCTCCTGGGACTGTCCAGAGTCTGAAGCCAGAAAGGAAACAGGAGAGCAGAAAAATTGCTCTTGATTTCCAAAGATCCAAGTGATGAGGCTACTGTGATGAAAACTTTTATGCCACGCTATAGACTCTGCAGTACAGATAGAGTTCTTCAGAAGTTAGCCCCAGGTACCTGCTCAAAGTCAAGATATTTAGAAGCCACCTTGCATTCAATGATAGATCAACCCCCAGTTCTGCACCTTTCTTCCACTGAGTCTCAGCAGCAATCTCTGATGCTGGAAGAGACATTGTCAGGGGTATAACCCTGGCAAATAAAAGTTCATGTCCTCAGGTCTGCTCTGTGAACATTGTGAAAACTCTTCTTTCGTATAGTCTCCAGATTTTTCATCTTTGTCTTCATCCTGATCAAATCTATTGTAAAATAAGGAATAAAAATATTGAAGTCATTTTCTTTAGCAATGCTTAACCTACCTTGAGGTAAGTTCTCTCCTAGCAGTAGCAGTAACAGTGGTCTCTGGGAGACGTGATAAAGCAAAATATAGTACCAATAAGAAACCCTTTAAGAAAGAAAGAGATGTTTGAACTGAAAAGCACCAAGAGATCCAAGTCTGTATTGTTCCATAACTTTCCCTGAAAAGTTCCTTCTACCTTTTCTCCCTTTAGGTCAAGCTGAATGAGAGGATCATATCTACTGAGCAAGGACTCCTCATTCGCTCTGTCCAAGACAGCGACCGGGGACTTTACCACTGCATCGCAACAGAGAACAACTTCAAGCAGACCTTAGCAAAGATCAATTTCAAAGTGTTAGATTCAGAGATGGTGGCCTTCATGACTGACAAATGGTCCCCTTGGACATGGGCCAGCTCGGTGCGAGCGCTGCAGTTCCACCCAAAGGACTTTGTGGGAGCTTTCAGCCACTCAGAAATGCAGATGATTAACCAGTACTGCAAAGACAGTAGACAGCAAGGTCAGCAGAGGGAAGAATCCCAGAAGATGAGAGGGGACTACAGCAAACTAAAGGCCCTTATCAATAGCAGAAAAAGTAGAAACAGAAGGAATCAATTACCTGGATCTTAATTTTATTTTGTAGTAATAGATATCCTTGTCCTCACTGTAGGGGGCTTATATTTGTCTATTGAGAACAAATTTGAGCAAATCTGGTAAAAAAATAAATGTAAATCCAGCAAGCTTCAGAAAAGATGCTTCTCCCAGTAAAATGCAGTGTAACTTAACTAAAGAAAATAATTCAGAGCATTTTCTTTCCTCAGTGCTGACTAACGCTAGCTTGGGCTCTGTCCTAGAAGCAGAACTGGGTATTCGTCTTAAACCAGATTCACCTTTAACATCTCAGTATTTAATTACAGCTGAATAGAAAGTTTTACAAAATCAATGCATTATCTTGCAACTCTGGAACTGTAACAATGAGCCTGGTGGTGAAAGAACCTGGGTTAAGACGCATGCTCAAAGTAGGATGGTACTAACTTGCGCTGCAGCATGTGAGTTTCTTCATGTTTACTGCTCAATATTTGGTTTACAGTTTTCACTCGTTCAAATCATGCGAATACATGCTGGTAAGAAGCAAGTAAAGTATAGTGGCAATGTTTCATTCGGTCAGAGGTCAAATGAAGGAAAGAGTAGAAGAAAAACAAAAAAAATATTATACTTTATCAGAGAAAACACTTATTATTGTGCATAGTATGAGTTGTAATAATTTCATGAGATCTGGAATGTAATTTAAACTATCTTTGCTCATATTGATTTTTTTTAAATAGGGTGTCCTATAACACTGCATAGCTTTACAAGTGGCACAAAGCTAACATGAGAATGTTCATTATACATATGATTTTGAAAAACACCTTAGTGACTTAGGTATTTTAGCTATTTTTCAAAGAATTACACTTTTTTCAGAGGACAGAATGTGGGTATACTGTAGATTGCTCACTTAGAAATGAAAAACATAGATTACTTTTAATCTGTTCAGTGGTTAAAATGAAGCTGGTCTGCAATGTGGAAACAAGTCATGAGTGTCTTTTTGAAAATTTTAAAACATTATTTTTTCTACTATTTTATCAAAGTTGCAAGTATTTTAACTAGAATTTTTAAATTAAACCATTTCCATTTTCCAGTTAATGTACCCTTTTTCTTTTCAGTGTTATTTTCACAATTTCCTCTTATTTTCAATTTTCTGCTGGAAAGAAGAGCAGGAAAAGAAAAGGGTGGAAAAAAAACAATGAGGGAAAAATAAGACAGAAGAATGGGTTTGGGCCAAAAAAAACAAAAAAGTGTAACAACTTGAGAGGCATGTTTAAACAGAAGTATTTTTGTTTAAGAAGCAGCTGTCAGGTCTAATGAAGTATGTTTAGTTGATAATTGGGTAAATCTGTATCAAGCCATCCTGGGAAAAACTATCACTTTTTGACAACACTAATGCAAAAAAATAGGGACAAATCTTCCTCGTTGTACTATGTGAGAGTGGTCCGTAAGTCTGTTCAAAAGAGATAGGACAGGGTTTAAAAATGTATGAGTACCTTAGAAAAATTGTGGTTTATTCCATGATATTTTATAATAGTATAAAAAAAAATAAACTAATTTTCAGCTCAAAAAAAAAAAAAAAAGGTAAATTTCTGGAAAAAAAAGAGTAACAATAATTTCTGAACCCAGAGAAGGTAAGAAAAGGTATTTTTCAAAAGTCGTTACTTCCAGCTAGTAACAGATGGATATGGTATTTTAAAACATAGTTTTAAACATTCTACTGGGTCTCTGTTGAAACTCTTTGGACATTATTTTGATTCTGCTTCTATTAGAATACTCTGGGAGTAACTCTACAGAGTGCAGGAGAACACCTCTGGGTTTGTGCCTCTGTGAATTAAGACCGAGTGCAATGGAGGGAACTCTGGTATTTGCCTGGTACCAGTTAGATGTGTCACTTTGTCACCGCTTGATGCAGGAAATGGGCCGTGATTGATCAAACCACTTAAATGCTGTCTCGAAGTCCCTTTGACACTGGTGGGAGCTTGTTGAATTCAATTTGTGTGCTTACTGCTTGCTTCAAAGGGGATGGCAATGCCAGCCTGCTCATGTATTTCTATCTAGTTAAGTGTTTTCCTTAATCAAGGCCTAAATGTGTATTTCAGCCGTATGTAGGCACTGGTATCTAAGGTCCTTCTTACTGAAACCATCAGGAAACTTTCTCTTTGACTTCAGAGAGCTTGAATCTGGCCTCAAGAGCTGGCAAAGCACTCTGGAGGGGGGGAAAAAAAAAAAAAAAAAAAAAAAAAAAAAAAAGAAAAATGAGATGGGTAGAGGACAATAAGATTTTTGGGGTTTTTTCCCCAGCTGACTTTCAGTGCAGCAAGCTAATTTTTGTTTTCCTGAGGATGGCTGACTTCTGAAGAGTGTAAGTGACAAACCAAAAATCAAGTGCCACGAAATAGAACTACCTCCTGAAATGACGTTATTGCATATACTCTGTAT